AGTGACATTACAGGGAAAAATGTTTAATATTTTACTCGGTACAAATGTCAACTCTACCAACTGAGCTGCTGCTGTCGCCCTGTTAAAGCTTAAACGTGTTCTTCTCTTAAACAGAAAACGCTCTGTTCCACCTTCTGATGTCATTGAGTGGCTCCACTAGGGGTGGGCGATATATCGATATTTTAACTATATCGAGATAGTTTTTAAACTCGATATGAATTCTGACATATCGTATATATCGATATAATGCTTATATTCAATTCTGCTTTTGCCGCTTCGCTTGTTTATCTTCTCTCTCGTCGCCTCCGCCTCCCTGAGTTTTGCTGCTCGTGTCTCCTTCACTCGTCACTGTCGCCGTAAACGCCCAAAGTTGGTGCCAGTGAAAAGCTTCAAGCTCCACGAACCTTTTCCACCATTTACAGACAAAACCATCAACAACACATCCTCATGTTCCATCGAGTCGCGTCCTTTAGCCCGAAAGAAGCTGAACGAGCAGAGCTGCAGGAGAAGTGCTGTTTATGCAAATGAGACATGAGCTTAAGTTTTGTTTCTGTAAAATGTAAACACACGTGCGCAGAACTGCATTAAACACATTATTATCTCAAACGGGCTGATGTGGCTCTAGAGTCGTTATGCTTTATATATTGTAAAGTTTATTTATGCAGAATATTTTTAATTAATAATCTGCTGCAGTGTCACTTGTTCAACAGTGTTTGGAAACGCTGGGTTTGATCTGCAGTGGATTGTGGGATTAAACCTCAGATCTCCTCACTGCTGGATAATAACTTGGATCTATTAAAATAAGGAACATCCTGAGCTTCTTCTGCTAAATGAGCTCATGGTTATGATTCTGGTCTGGATAACAGAGTTAATACAAAGATGAACTTGTGTTGAGTTGTTTTATTTATGAATGAAAAGAAGGAAATATGTTTTATTTCTTTTATTTTACAGTTAAATTATTATTTATGTAATTAGGGTTTTTTGTAATCTTAAATGTTCCTGTATGAACTGTCGACCTCTTACACTTCAATTAAAAAAAAAGGACCTTGTGGAATTTGGCAGATTTGTTTTTGCAGTTTTCAGTTTTAGGGGGTTATTTTTTCTTGAACATATATCCAGATATATATCGTATATCGAGATATAGCAAAATATATCGAGATATATTTTTTGATCCTTATCGCCCAGACCTATGCTCCACACATTTTCACTAGAATCATTTGGATCATCTGCAGCCAACCAGAACCTATTAGACATTTCTATTGACAATTTTTATTTATTTATTTATTTAATAAATTTTTTAAAAATATTTTTATTATTATTATTATTATTATTGTTATTATTATTATTATTTTATTTATGTATTTATTTATTTTATTTATGTTTATTATTATATTTTTTATTATTATTAGTTTTTATTTATTTATTTATTTGTTGTTCGTGCTGTTGTTTTGTTGGCACCAATTTAAATTTAAAGAGAACAACAACAAAAAAATCTGACATTGAACATAAATACTTTCACATGTCAACGGAACAAAAGATAAAACAATAATATTTTTACAACAACTTAAAGGTGCACTGCGTAACTTTTCAGGTTGGGCGTTTGCTACGAAGATGGTTTTAAACTTATATAAGACGCAATTTTTCATTTATGGGTGTTTTAAAGCTCAAAAATCCCTTTAAAAACACAAACACTGACTGTGCGTGTGGTCGCCTCTTCGCGGATCTGGACTGTAAATTGACCTGGTGAGTTCAAGTGACACTAAAAAACACTGTTAACTTGAAAACTTACCACTTGATGACATCACAAGGTGGAACAGAGCATTCTCATTGAATAAAGTTTTACTCAAACATGTGAATGAAACAAAACACAACTCCAGGTCTGTTTTTGAGGAGGAAACAACATTAGAACACGACTGTAAAACCCCTCAGTCGTCCTGGCAGGATCCACGGAAAAAGAGATTTTCAATTTGTCAACTGGACAAAAGTTTATTTTGGTCGAAGACGTTTCTCAGCTCGTCCAAACTGCTTCTTCAGTTCTGGTCAGAGGCTGAAGGACACTTCCTTATATCTGCCTGCAGGGGGAGTTAACTACACTGAAACTACTCTGGAACTAACACACACTCCTGTTTACAGTTTCTGTTTGTAGCTCGGTCTGTTGAACTGCACAGAGGCTACATTTACACTGAAGCGAATCACCGTATCGGAAACATCTGCATCCAGACACGTCAATTCTGCGTCCCACAAGTCTTCTCTATCCACACAACTTTGCGCACATTTGTTTACGTTTTACAGTTTTACAGAAATGAAACTTAAAACCACATGACTCATTTGCATAAACTATAAGCTCTGAAAAAAATAAACAGCTCTTTCTTTGTGTCGCTGATGTGGTTCAGTTTCAGTTGGACTAAAGGACACAGTGACTCAGTGGAATATGAGTGTTCTTTCTGTGACAGAGGGGTGTTCTGCTGATGGTGAGTCTGTTCTGTGTTTCTGTCGTGTTGGAGATGGTTCATGTGAAACTTTTCAGAGATTATACATGTGCAGGTCGTACACACAGACACACGTTTATATGAATGGACACATATTCTCGCCTCTTAGTGTTTTGTGGGTGAATGACTTGGCGGTGACAGACCTACATCAGAGTATCAGAGTTTTCAGGCGTCCACACAGTCAAGGATCAGATCTGTTCTCAGGTGAATTCGTGGGAGCTGGAGGCACCAGATCGTTCCGTTTCTGGAGCCGTTTTCAATCGGACCCACAACCAAAACCACTCGAATATGTACTAGTGTCTGGACCTGACCTGGCTGTTGCTGTTGTTTTCTTGGTTTTGATTCAGGTTTGAGGATGGAGTTGTAAATAGAAGAGAGTTGATGTCTGAGCCGTCCATTTCTGTTCAAAGATGGATGGTCTTTCTTAACAAAAATAGCCTCTGTACCTCACTGTCCTCAGAGGAGTGTCCCGCGGCTTTGAGGTGGCGATGTACGACAGACTGTGGTCCTGTGTTGCTCTCTCGTCTGTGTCGGTTCATCCTCTTGTGAAGTGTCTGTTTAGATCAGGGGTGGGCAAACTACAGCCCGGGGGCCGTATGCGGCCCTTTAAACCTTTTAATCCGGCCCGCTGAACTGGAATAAATTATAATAATAAACCGTGTTGATGTTTTATTTGTCATGCATTTTCAGCGTTTCCCAGTAGATGGCGCACTACATATACATTGAGGTGCGGCGTATTATGTTGGCCGCAATGCTTTATGGGAAAGTGTTCTTACAGGAGTAATTCGGACCATGAGTGAAGTAGTTGGTGTTCAAGCTATAAGACTGCACTGCTTCCATGTTATGTACATAAGAAACAAATTTAGAACAACTTAAGACTCTGATTTGTTACTATTAATATGTACAACATCATAGAGACTGGTTTTACTGGACTTGGAGCGTCATTCTCGAGCTGTCTTCAGTCAGATTTGATAACAGTAAGCTCACGATATTCATTCACATGTGGTGGGCAGTCGTAGAGCTTTATACACTGTATTTGGAACAGGTTTATACACATTTATTTGTTGTGAGTCATCCACAGCAGTGTTGAAGCGCATTGTGCGCGTCTGAAGTCCTACATAAACGTGAATATGAATGTAATGAAGCCGAGCTCTTCACACGTTATGTCTTGTCTTCTGTCCGGCCCTTCAGTCAAACTTTAGGACCCTATGTGGCCCACGAGCCAAAAAGTTTGCCCACCCCTGGTTTAGATTCTCCAGTGTCGCGTTCACTGCCGTCCTCACTACATCAACAGACCGAGCTACAAACAGAAACTGTAAACAAGTGTGTGTGATAATTCCAGAGTAGTTTCAGTGTAGTTAGCGCCACCTTCAGGCTGACCAGGACCAGAAGTTTGGACGAGCTGCGAAATGTAAATGACAAAAAAAAAAACCTTGTCCAGTTGACAAAATGTAACTTCTCTTTTCCAACATT